TTCCTTACAGGATTAGCCCAGTCATTTCTTCTAACAACCGGTTCTCCGAACTGCTTAGAATGCTAACAACCGGTTCTAGCGAATAGGTGCGAACCTGTAGAATCCCACCTGGTTCAATTCCTATGGCCACCCATCTCAAGTTCATGCCTCTGGGTGGCGGGACCCGGCCTTTAGGGCCCCAAAGGCCAAGAGGGTAAGGGTCACCTCATGTTGGGGAAGGGGCTGCTGTTATGCCAAAGGCCAGGGGCCCGGGGTCAGGTCCTCCCCTGGAGGCTTTCCAGAAGAGACTGGACTACCCTTTGTCAGAAATGGTGTAAGGTCTCCTGCTTAGGTGGTGGATTGGACTAGATCAGGGGCCGCCAACCTTTTGGACCTCAAAGACCACCAAACTCATCATTTTAAATCCCGCAGAGCAGAGACCCTGGGAAAATTCCCCAGAGTCTGCAGGAAAATTCCCCACCCCGTTTTCCTACCAATCGATCGTTCTTTATTTGGGATCGCAGGATATCGTCTCCAGCTCTGTTCTCAGGGGGAGAGAGAGAGACTTTTGACTTCATGCAAGGAAAGCAGCAGAAGCAGCAAAAGTCTTTCTTTCTCTCCCCCAAACTCCGCTAGAAATGAGTCTTTGCTGGCACAGCCTCTTGGAGCAGGAGGCCTTGCAGGGTCCCAAAGACTCATTTCTGGCGGAGTTTGGGGGAGAGAAAGAAAGACTTTTGCTGCTTTCCTTGTGTGCAGCCAAAAGCAGAAGAAGAAAGAAGTGGAAAGAAGCAGCCCGGTGGCCAGGCGAGGCATGTGGGTTCAGTGGGGCAAGTCCCCCCACTCTTTCCCCCTTCCCCCTCATTAACTTGTGTTATTCGTAATGCAAGTGTTCCCGCGGGCGATATGGGCCTTGGGTCTCCACGCAGCCTGGACGAATTGCGTTTGGGGGATGCTTTGGGGAGGTGACATTTCTCTGCAGACCACCAACCTTTTCTCATGGACCACCAGTGGTCCCCGGCCCACTGGCTGGCAACAACTGGACTAGATGACTGACAAGGTCCCTTCCAGCTGTGGGATCCTACTTTTTCCATTACCAGTTTGGTGATTGCTTATACACCTAGTGTGCATGTACCTAACGCGGGCGCCCAGCTTTCCCCACACCAGGTGAGGCCGCCAGGGCCAATAAGAATAAAGAAGGGAAAAGCACAAAGGCAGGTGGGAGGGCTGATCCTGGGCTTTCCTCTTCTTTTTCCTCTGATTGTCCACGATTTTTTCCCCCCTCCTCTCAGCTGATTCTCGGAGACTTTTACTACCAGTTCCACCAAACCAGTCCGAACCAGTCGCATGCCATCACTGGGTCCCTTCCAACTGCGTTAATCTGTACCTGTACCTGCTTTTCCCTTCCCAGAGGGAGCTGAACATCTGCAACGTGCTGGCCTTTGAAAGTTGGCTGCTGAGGAAGGGGCTGCCGTGGCCCTCTCGGACCCTCCTGGACCTGTCCCAGGTCAAGCGCCACTCGCTGACCCTCCGCAAATTGGCCGGCCAGATCGCCACCCCCATCCCTTCCTTCAGCACTCTGCTCAGGGGCAATGCTTCCGACTCAGTCCTCAGCATGCAGCACAGGTACCGGCGTCAGAAGCCCTGGAATTTCAGCACCAACCTTGACTCTGAACCGGCCACGTCCATCTGCCGTCCGGCTTTGATCCGGCTGGGCGTGGAAGCCGAGAAGCTGCCGCGCCATGACTTCACCTCCTTCCTCTTCCTCTTCAAGGACCCTTTCGGGGATCCGGTGATCCAGATCGACAACATCGGCAGGGTCTGCCCCGTGCCGGATCTCCCCTACGAGGTCCTTCACCAGAGCCTCTATCCCCACACCTGGACGCCCCGCCTGGAGGTGCCCGGGGACCTCCGGCCGGTGCATATCTTCAACCTGAAGCACCGGCGTCCCCCGGGGCCCGAGCACTGGTGGACCGACCAGATGGCCCTGAGCCTGCGGGTCACCCTGGATCCCATCTTCCTGAGCAGCCTGCAGGGCCATGTCTCCACCTACTGCAGCGCCGAAGCTCTGAGCCCAAGGACAGCGAGCTTGGGGTCCCCAAAAGAGACCCCCTCCGTCCAAAGTGAAGCATCCAGCCTGTAGGAGGAAGTCCTTGCAGGCCCCTTTGGCCGTGCCCCAGAGAGCAAAGGGGCAGGGATGCCCCCTCCCCTCAAATGCCCCATCTCTATTATAAAGTATTTGATAGGGTTGACTTTGCAACGCTCAGAAACATTTAATAATCATCATAATTTTTAAAAAATGATTAAAAGTTGAGGGTAGATCTTAACGCCTTATTTTATTGCACCCAAAAGGGACGCGGTGGCTGAGTGGATAAGACGCTGTGCTTGTCGATCAGAAAGGTCGGCAGTTCGGCGGTTCGAATCCCTAGCGCCACATAACGGAGTGAGCTCCCCTTGCTTGTCCCAGCTTCTGCCAACCTAGCACTTCAAAAGCACATTAAAAAAAATGCAAGTAGAAAAATAGGGACCCCTTTTGGTGGGAAGTTAACAGCGTTCTGTGCACCTTCTTTGGCGTTTAGTCATGATGGCCACATGACCACGGAGACGTCTTCGGACAGCACTGACTCTTTGGCTTTGTAACGGAGAGGAGCACCGCCCCTTAGAGCCGGAAACGACTGGCACGTACATGTAAGGAGAACATCCGTACCTTTACCTTTTACCTCTTTTCTAGCACTGCGGAATCAACTTCTCCACAGAGACGTTTTGCTTCTCCTCAAAGAACTTTCTTCAGTTCAACTCTAACCCAGAACCAAAGAAGCTTCTTGGATGAGAAGCGAAACCTCTTCAAAAGGGAAAACACGAGAAAGTCTTAGTCGCCTTTTTTGGGAAAGGCATCCTTTGATCTGGAAGTTTGGGACTCCTCATAGACAGGGAAATGGAGGCTATAAATGGGGTTCCCCTTGTGGATCCCCTCTAATTGGCAGGGAAAGTTGGAGTGGAGTACTAGCAGTGAGAGGCGGTGACTCAGTGGTTAAGATGCTGAGCTTGTCGATCAGAAAGGTCGGCAGTTCGGCGGTTCGAATCCTTAGCGACGTGTAATGGAGTGAGTTCCCGTTCCTTGTCCCAGTAGCTTCTGCCAACCTAGCAGTTCGAAAGCATGTAAAAATGCAAGTAGAAAAACAGGGGCCCCTTTGATGGGAAGGGAACAGCGTTCCGTGCGCCTTCTGGCGTTTAGTCAACGGAGACGTCTTCGGACAGTCCTGGCTCTTCGGCTTTGAAATGGAGAGGAGCACCACCCCCTAGAGCTGGAAATGTGTGAGGGGAACCTTTACCTTAACTGCACGAAAGGAGTTGGAAGTAAATGCCTTTTTTTTTTCCTTTTTCCCTTCCTTTCCCCCACTACCCACTTTCTTTCCTCATTTTTTTCTTTTCCTACTTTCCCTAACATTTGCTTTCATATTCTCTTGGTATGTCCTATTATAAAGTAATAAAAGTATTTAGGAAAGAATAATAAAAGCACAGTTAGGGCGGTTCCACTCCTGCGGCCGTCGGTCCTTCATTCACAGCAGGAACTGGGGGCTCCTCAACTTACGGCCGCAATCGAGCCTAAAATATCTGTTGCTAAGCAGGACAGTTCCTAACCGAGTTTTGCCCCGTTTCGCCGTCTTTCACACCACCGTAATTAAGTGAATGGCTGCAGTGGTTCAGTTAGTAACCCCGTTGTTAAGTGAATCTAGCTTCCCTCCTTGTTAAAAGGTCGCAAAAGGGGATCATGTGACCCTGGGACGCTGCAACCATCGTAAAGATGAGTCAGCTGCCAAGCGGCTGGATTTTGATCACGTGATCACAGGGGATGCAGCGATGGTGCTAAGTGTGAAAAACGAGATTTTAGTGCTGTTGTAATTTCAAATGGTCACTAAATGAACGAACGTAAGTGGAGGACTCCCTGTGTTCACCCCCAATAAAAAAAAAAGAATGCCAAATGAAACCCCTTGTCATGCCCCCCGTCGGAGTCTGAATCCGAGGAGGAAGACAAACAGCTGACAGCGAGCGGGAATGTGGCTGCGTTGGCTGTGGAGGAAACTGGGGAAGGGCAAAGTCCGGTTGGGCAGAGCAGGGAAGAGATAGAACAAGGGAGAGAGAGTTCAGAGGAAGACCCAGGCCTACCCCCTCTTCATCCTAGAGCACGCAGGGAGGAACGGAGAAGAGAGCAACATGGGTTGCGTGGCTTACGAGGGAGGAAATGGCCCTGACTCCCTTCACAAGGCACACTTGGGGAGGGAGTTTAAAGGAGAGGCAGTTGGGAGGGGCGTTTGTCAGGAACAAACGTTGAGTTTATCTAGTGTTGGTTGATTTTATCTGAGTTCCTGGCATCCTCCCAACTGGTTGGATTTATTGCCATGTTACTTCACTTCTGGAACTCCTTAGCTTGCCCTGCCAGATTTATTACCTTATCTTGCCTTGTTGGATTTATAGTTTAGTTTTCTGTTTACACTTATTTTGGATTGAAATATCTGCAGCCCAAGGCGGTTGCAGGTTCCTGGGAGAGTTTTTCTCCAGACCGGAGAGTAACCGGGACATTGGGGGCAAACTTGGAGCTAATGAAGAGACCAAGACTTATTCTCTGATCGTGTTGCCTTTGTGCCACGCCCCGGGTCATCACACCCTGAAGAAAAAGGGGAGAAGAGAGTTGTCTCTTTGTTCTGTTGTCACTGAACACCTTTATTGAACACAAACTTTGTGCTGAAAGAGACACCTGTTGCCTTCAGCCAAGAACATCGCGGCAGCTGGAAGCCTCCGGAGGTCCTCTAGACGGGCCAGGCAGCCTGACAACTGCTGGGGCAGAGCCGGGGGTGGCGCCCAGCCCAAGGAGCAGAGTAGACCCTCATGGCTTCCTGCGTTCCAGGCACAACCTGGCCAATTCTTTGCACGCCATCCTGGTTCCTTCCCCAACCGGGGCGTTGGTATAGTTCGATTTCCACTGACACCCGGGAAGTTTTGCAGTCTTTCTGTGCTCAATGCAGCTTTGCTTTTCACACACTCCAAAAGCCGAGCCAGGAAGTTTGTGTGGAACCATCCTTCCTGGTTTCCTTTTGTTTCCTTTTTTTTTTTCCTAACAAGAACCAAAACCCCAAAAACAAGTTTAGCCAGCTTCCCGGAGAAGAACCTCCTAGCACAATGAAGGAAGAAGAATTATTAGACTTCTTTTTTTTTTTTTTTTTGTCATTCCTGGCCGGATGGTCTGGTTCGGGTCAGCCACGACGGAAGAAGGCGGCGTCTTTCAGAAGTCCATTTTGTCCTTCGTTCCCGGGCAGGTTCCTCTCACAAAAAAAAACGTTGGAAGAAATCCGGCTCACGAAACGTCGCGTCCCCCTTCCTACCCCGAAGAGATGAACTGCCCTGGCTTTAAAAAAAAGCATGCTAAGAGCTCATCGGAAACCCCTTTGAGAGGGGTGGGGCGAGATGGGAGGGGGGTCCCCGACCTCGTCCCCCTTCCCCAGCCACCCACAGGAAAGAGAGCTGCCCCCCACACACACGCCTCGGGGCTCTTTCCCGCTTTGTTCACCCTGAACGGATCTCGAGGTCAGGAAAAAAAAGAGGGGATGTGGAGGCTCAGAACAGGAGGAAGGTCCCCCTGTGTCCAGAAGAGGGAGGGGGTGGGTGGGAAACGACAACATCTGGGGGGGTTGCTGGAGGGGAGGACGATCAGTACATCTTCTGTCGGCTGGGCAAGATGGCTTCCTTGATGAAGGAGAAGACGAGGAGGATCCCGGAACGTTTCCCTCGCTTCCCTTTGGTGAAGTAGCTGGAGACCACGTCGTCTGAGGAGGCAAAGGAGACACAGATCAGAGCGAAGGCCGAGCGAGTTGGGGTTCAAAACGGGCAGGGCCTCGTCCATCCATCCACCTAACCCTTCCCCCAGGGCCAGAGGTGGTATTCAGCCGGGTCTGACCGGTTCTGGAGAACCGGTAGCGGAAATTTTGAATAGTTGGGAGAACCAGCCAATCCCGCCTCGGACTGGCACCCGCCAACCCCATCTCTTCTCTGCCTCCCATTGAGTCCCAGCTGATCGGCTGGGTCTTCTTTGGTTGCCCTGCATAGGAGAACAGAGCTGGAAAGCAGGTTAGTGGGGTGGGGAGGGAAGGGAAGGGGGATTTTGCAGTATATCCTTCCCCCAGGAGTAGGGAACTGATAATAATTTTTTTTTGAATCCCACCACTGCCCAGGGCATACTGTGGAGAAAACACTCGTCCCCCAGACCCACTCATCCCACCCGCTGACAGCTGAAGGGACACGTGGGAACCAGAGGGCAGGCGAGGGAGCCCAACGCCAGGCCCATCCAGGGTGAAAAGTGAATATATGCATTGAATACCAGAGCTGAACGGGGCAGCTGGCTTTGTTCCCTCTTTCTTATTTCTTTTTTTAATATCCAGCAGCATTTAATTATTTTACTTTTATATAGTTTTTTTTTCCACAGAGCATTTTATAGAATAGAATAGAATAGAATGGAATGGAATGGAATGGAATGGAATGGAATGGAATGGAATAGAATAGAATAGAATAGAATAGAATAGAATAGAATAGAATAGAATAGAATAGAATAGAATAGAATAGAATAGAAAAGAAAATATGGAATGGAATGGAATGGAATGGAATGGAATGGAATGGAATAGAATAGAATAGAATAGAATAGAATAGAATGGAAAATATGGAATGGAATGGAATGGAATGGAATGGAATAGAATAGAATAGAATAGAATAGAATAGAATAGAATAGAAACCTTTATTGCCATTGCATTCCACAAATACAATGAAATTCGAAAGCTACTCCAGCACAGCGCCCCAAACACCACATCACAATCACACTACCGAGTATTTAAAAATTAAAATAAATAATAATAATAATAATAATAATAATAATAATAATAATAATAATAATAGGACTAAATCACAAATGCACTGTTTGCTTCAAGACAGTTCCTGCCTTGGAAAAGAAACTGTTTCTCAATCTATTAGTCCTCATTTTATGACACCTATAACGCCTCCTTGATGGTAACAGTTTGAAATATGAATGTTTAGGATGAAACGGTCTGTGGAGATTTTCAGTATCTGGTTTTCGCAATCTCCTCCAAAGAAGAACGAGAGCAACCGATGATTTTATTTTATTGTACAATATGTCAACTCATAAAATATTTCTATGGCCTTTTTAGAGATGCCAACAGAAAGGGAGGGAGGGAAAGGGGTTTGAAAGAGCAGTGCGGCAGCTTGGAAACCAAAAGTGCATTCCATAAATAGTTTTTCAAAGATAGCAACTAGGTGACTGAAGTTTCTCCCGTGGCAAATATCTAACTGGAGAGCATGATGGATGACTCTTGGCTAGGGACGTGTCCCATTGGAGAATATGAATTATGATACACCCACAGGTCAGGGGAAACCAGGGTCAAGGGTGACCATGAATGATGTGTCCCAGAGTCGGCTACACCCAAGCAGTGCCGGACATGTTAACTCCCAATAAATCCTTTTGAAGTTTTGGAAGTTTGGCTCGAGACTCAGGATTCAAATGGGGTAACTGCCCGAATCCTGACATAATATAAAATACAAAAAGAAAAGAAAATAGGAAAGGAAGGGAAGGAAGGAAAAGGAATGGGAAAAGGGAGGGTGTGATACAAGGGGGAAGAGAAAAAGAGTACTAGCAGTGAGAGGCGGTGACTCAGTGGTTAAGATGCTGAGCTTGTCAATCAGGAAGGTCGGCAGTTCGGCGGTTCAAATCCCTAGCGCCCCGTAACGGAGTGAGCTCCCGTTCCTTGTCCCAGCTTCTGCCAACCTAGCAGTTCGAAAGCACATAAAAAATGCAAGTAGGAAAATAGGGACCCCTTTGGTGGGAAGGGAACAGTGTTCCATGCGCCTTCAGCATTTAATCATGCCAGACACATGACCGCGGAGACGTCTTCGGACAGTGCTGGCTCTTCGGCTTTGAAATGGAGATGAGCACCGCCCGCTAGAGCCTCCGGGACGATGAAAACTGCCTCAAACGGGCTGAAAAACAGCTGGGAGGCATGCACATGTGCAGTGCAGGCAAGTTTGGCTGGGGCTCGTGTGCCCGGACAAATGGTTCTGCGTGCCACAGGTTTGCCATCATGGTCCTAGACCAAGCCAAGTCCAAAAACAGTAGGGAATTCCTGGAAGCCTTGGCACCCTGACAAATCAGCCATCCACAAACACGTGGAGGTAAACAACATTTACACACCATTTCAAAGAGAGAAGTAAAAAGGCCCAAACACCAGCAATCAATACTAAGATAAGCAGAGATTAATAATGGACCGACAATCAACAAGCAAAGAATACCCCAATCAAGGAATGATGAGCTACAATCTCCTGAGCAGGAGGTTGGACTAGAAGACCTCCAAGGTCCCTTCCGACTCTATTATTATTCTGTTCTATTCAATCCAACAGGACACGGCAATCTAATCGAGGAACTACCAGGAACGTTCCCAGCAACGTTGTATATAAACAGAGAGTAAATCCTCCCCGCTTCTAACACTCATGATGTTTCCTTGTTGGATAATGAAACGTCACAAGAGAGCAGCACCAAGGATACATGAGCCCTCCTCTCCACAAACCCTCATTCCCTTCCAACACTGATGAAGTTACGTAGTTGGGTCTTGAGATGTCTGCAAGAAAACAACCCAGCTCAGAGAGCACTAAGGACCTCACAGTTCTCCCCTTCTTCCTCTTCCTCCTCCTCCTCCACCTCCCTGCAAACCCCACTCCCTTCCAACACTGATGAGGTTACGTCGTTGGGTCATGAGATGTCCGCAAGAAAACCTGCGTGCCACAGGTTTGCCATCATGGTCCTAGACCAAGCCAAGTCCAAAAACAGGAATTCCTGGAAGCCTTGGCACCCTGACGAATCAGCCATTCACAAACACGTGGAGGTAAACAACATTTACACACCATTTCAAAGAGAGAAGCAAAAAGGCCCAAACACCAGCAATCAATACTAAGATAAGCAGAGATTAATACTGGACCGACAATCAACAAGCAAACAATACCGCAATCAAGGAATGATGAGCTACAATCTCCTGAGCAGGGGGTTGGACTAGAAGACCTCCAAGGTCCCTTCCGACTCTGTTATTATTCTGTTCTATTCAATCCAACAGAACACGGCAATCTAATTGAGGAACTACCAGGAACGTTCCCAGCAACGTTGTATATAAACGGAGAGTAAATCCTCCCCGCTTCTAACACTCAAGATGTTTCCTTGTTGGATAATGAAACGTCACAAGTGAGCAGCACCAAGGATGCCTGAGCCCTCCTCTCCACAAACCCTCATTCCCTTCCAACACTGATGAGGTTACGTCGTTGGGTCATGAGATGTCCGCAAGAAAACCTGCGTGCCACAGGTTTGCCATCATGGTCCTAGACCAAACCAAGTCCAAAAACAGTAGGGAATTCCTGGAAGCCTTGGCACCCTGACGAATCAGCCATCCACAAACACGTGGAGGTAAACAACATTTACAGAGAGAGAGCCCCAAGGACCTCACAATGCTCCCCCTCTTCCTCCCTCTCCTCCTCCCCTCTTCCCTGCAAACCCCACTCCCTTCCAACACTGATGTGGTTACATAGTTCGATCTTGAGACGTCTGCAAGAGAACCCACCGCTGAGAGTCCCAAGGACCCCCCCACCTCACCAATTCCTCGAGGCCAGCCATCACGGCCCACAGCCGCTCTCCTCACTACTCTCCCCCCTCCCCCCCTTTTACGGAGAGACCCCAAGTTGCTGCGGATTTTGTTCTGGGTGGGAATCCTGCCTGGGGTCGTCTTGCCCCCCTTCCCTGGGCCACAAGTGGGGTGGTGGTGGTGGGTGCCTGGCTAGAGAACTCACCTCCCGGCTGCACGGTGGACGGCAGGACGTTTTCGCCAGCCGACAAGGAGACGAAGAAGGCGAAGGGGGTGAGCCAGAGGCAGAAGGTGAAATAGGCCAGTACCTGGAGAGGGGGAAGGGGGGAGAAAGAGCATCAGGTAAGCCCCAGTGTCCCCACTCCCCTCAAAAACCATCCCAGCAACCTCCAGCTGCCCTCCCAGAGCTCCCCCTGCAGGCCCAAAGCGCCCCTGGACCAGCTCGTCCCACCAGGGCCACAGCCAGGAACCAGACTGGCTCCATTTTGAGACCTGACTTAGTCAAAAGATGGGGGGGGGGGGCAGGTGAAACCCCAGATTGTTCCTCCCGCAACCCCCCTACGGATAGTCCTCGACTTACGACCGTAGTCCCGCCCGACATTTCTGTGGCCGAGCGAGGTGTTTCTCGAACGGAGCTTTGGCCTCCTTTTGGACGGCCGTTCCTCGCCGTTAAGCAAATCGCCGCGGGAACCCAGTTCGTTCAGCAGATCCGGCTTCCCCCATCGACTCGGCTCGTCAGAAGGTTCACAAAAGGGGATCGCGTGACGCCTCGCCCCCCCTGCCCCCCCCAGGGGGGAGGGACACTGCGACCGTCGTGTGAGACCGCTGCTGAGGCCTCTGAATTTTGACCATGCGACGGCGGGGAATGTCGCCACAGTCGTTAAGTGTGAAAAAGAGGTCCTTTTTTTCCAATGCCGTCGTAACTTTGGACGCTAAATGAACTATTGTTTAGTTCGAAACTACGCATACGGGGGTGGGGGATTCTTGATTTATAATCGATCGCTTAGCGGCCTACTTGAAAAAAAAAGGCGATTTACGACCTGAATCCAAAGTAATAACTGGGCTGGAGGGGGGGATTAGGGGCAGGTCACATGGTAGCAATGCCACTTTTACGAGTGTCCCGGGGTCACATTTTATGTCATTTCGGCCAAAAACCCCACCCCTTATTTCTGGCTTTTGGTAAAAACCGCCTCCACGGAGAACCACGGATTCGTATTTACAACACCATTGTTCTTTTAACGACCGCCGCAAAACAAACCCCAAACAAACCCCCAAAATCTTAAAGTCAGGTCGGTCGTACGTCCGACACCCCCCCACACACACACTTTACGACTGTTACAGCCAGTCTCCATTATGGTCGTAACTCAAGGAATTTGGTGCTGCTTTGGGGCTCCGTGGCTGCGGCTGCCACCGAAGGCGTGAGAGACTCAGCGGCAGCAAGAAAGGCGCTTTCCTCAGCGGCAGGTGGTCCTCGAGTTACGACCATCTGCTTAACGGCTGTCCGAAGGGACGAAGGCGCTGGGGGGGGAAAAAGGGGACTTACGGCCGGTTCTCATACTTACGGCCATGGCAGCGTCCCCGCACAAACTTTGGGGGCTTGGCAATGGGTTCAACACGGTTGCAGCACCCCGGCCTTCTGAAAAAACCAAGCCAACGAGGGGGAAAGCCATATTTCACTTAACGATGGTGTGATTCACTTAACAACCCAGGGATCCGCTTAACAACTCTGCCCCCCACCCCAAAAAAGGTCCTGACATCAGCTATTATGACTCTAATGAACAACCATCTTGCTCAGCGGTGGAAATTTTAGTCGTAAGTCGAGGACTCGCCGTAGAGAGAGGAAAACACAGCAGGGAGGGTCTCGTGGCTCTTAGGGTCGCCCGCCTCCCTCCGGACCCCTCTTACCTCTGAGAAGGGGTAATATTCCTCTGCAAAATATTGAAAGGCCAGGTAATGGTTCAGCACAACCAGCACTGCCAAAATGGAGGGGGAAAAGAGAGAGAGAGAAGGGGCTCATAAATTCGGAGGGGCTTCGTTCAGCCAACGAGATCCCCCTCAGACCCAAATACTGCAGGGACGGAACTGTGCCGCAGGTAACGGCCGTCGGCAAAAGCAGAAAAACAGCAGCTCCCCAACGCTTTAAGCCTCGAGCTGCTTGAGCCAAGGCGTTCTGACCCACGCCCTTTCCCGACAAATCAAACACGATCCAAAGGGAAGAGTAAACCTTTTAATGCTTCTGCAAAATAATTAGCTGTGATAAGCACAAGCCTTGCCAAAACGGTGTGAGATTTTGCCAAAAGATAACAGACAAGAAATAATTTGCAAAATAAGAACCTTCAAATACCAACTCAGGATACTGGAATGTCCACGAGGCTGGAGTTTCAAAACGTCTTTGCCTTCTGCAAAGAGCGTTCGTTTTGCAGCTGGCTTTATTCTTCTTGAAGGAGGGGCCATTACCTTGCAGCCTTACTCCCGAGTCGCCCGTGCTGTTGCAGCTGCTCTTTCCTGTGAGCAATCCTGCGCGCACGCGCCATTTAGCACAGGCTCCTCGGGAACCTCCTCATCGCTGCTGCCAGCCCCCACAATCTCCGAAGGCTGCAGTCCACTCCCTAATGGTCCTGGCCCCTCATCTGAGTCCTCACTCTCCTCAGCCGTCCGCACCTGCTGCCGGCTAACCACAGCACGAGGGTTGGACTAGAAGACCTCCCGAGGCCTCTTCCCACTGTCCTTCGGTACTCCTGTAAATAAAGTTTGTTCATGGGGAAAATGGGGGGGGGCTCCTGATTTCAGTCAGGCTGACATTTACAGAACGAAGGGAGATGGAGCACTAGCCCTTAATATACCGCTTCACTAGGCTTTTACGGCCCTCTCTGAGCAGTTTACAGAGTCAGCCTCTTGCCCCCAACAATCTGGGTCTCCATTTGACCGACCTCAGTAGGGTGGAAGTCTGAGTCAACCTTGAATCGGTCAGGATCAAACTCCTGTCAGTGGGCAGAGACAGCCTGCAATACTGAATTCTAACCACTGAGCCACCACAGTTAGGTAAGCAGGTGTTGTGGTTAGCCAACAGCAGTTGCGGACAGCTGAGGAGAGCGAGGACTCAGATGAGGGGCCAGGACCATTGTGGACTGCTGCCTTCGGAGATTGTGGGGGCTGGCAGCAGCGGTGAGGAGGTTCCCGAGGAGCCCGTGCCAAGTGCGTGTGCACGCAGGGCTGCTTGCAGGAAAGAGCAGCTGCAGCAGCACAGGTGACTCAGGAGTAAGGCTGCAAGGTAATGGCCCCTCCTTCAAGAAGATAAAAGCCAGCTGCGAAGCGAACGTTCTTTGCAGGAAGCAAAGACGTTTTGAAACTCCAGCCTCGTGGACATTCTAGTATCCTTAGTTGGTATTTGAAGATTCTTATTTTGCAAATTATTTCTTGTCTGTTTTGTTTTGGCAAGTCTCACACATTAAAGGATCTTGTGAAATATTTCTTATCTGTGATTCTTGGCATCTTGCACAGTTCTGGCAAGGTTTGTGCTTATCAAAGTTAATTAGTTTGCAGCAGCCTTTTAACCGGGGATTTGTAAGACTCATTAAAAGGTTTCTGTTCCCTTTGGTTTGTGTTTGTTTTATTGGAAAAGAGTTTGGGTCAGAACAGTAGGTAGCTAGGTAGGTAACTACATAGATGATAGATAGAGATACTTACATACACAGAGAGAGAGAGAGAAAGAGAGAGAGAGATAGACAGAGTCAGACAGATAGATGATGGATGGATGGATGGATGGATGGATGGATGGATGGATGGATGGATGGATGGATGGATAGACAGCTAGATAGATGGATGACAAATAGGTAGATAATACAGACAGACAAGATGGGTAGACAGACAGACAGAATGACAGACAGTCCTTACTCCAAGCAATCTCCCAGTCTAAATTTGGATGGCAAGGGAAAAAAAGGAAGTGAAAACAGGTAGCCTTTGACTTACCTGGTTTCTGAATCGTTCTACATCTGATGGAGACACCACGCCACTCCCCCACAAAAACTATCAGGCTGACAATGTCTCAAGCCAGAGACTGCAGGATTAATCAAGAGCTGATTTTCTCTCATAACCTAAAGCGGAGGGCGTGGTGGTGTCTCCAAACCTGGCCATTTTTAAGACTCCAACTCCCAGAATCCCCCACAGCCAGCCTGGTCTAACTGAAAAAGAGTGTCCAACCTTGGCCACTTAAAAACTCACGGACCTTCGATTTCCACGCTGGCTGGGGAATTCTGGGAGCGGAAGTCCAGGAGCCTTAAAAGTGGCCAGGTTTGGGAGACCCAATATCTTAAACCAGTGGCCCCCAACCTTTTTTGTGCCACGG